CTTCGATATTTCGTCCATATGCCGCCATTTTAATGGCTCGCCGATTCTCTGCCCGATAAATGCCACTTCTTCGTCTGCATATGTATTTAGATTACAGTATCCAAGAGTACTTCATTGTAGAATAGTCCTAAAAGAAAAATTGAAAAAATTACTTGCACTTTGAAGGAAAAAACCTCCCACAACAAATTCAGGATAGGAATAAAAACAAATCATTTGAAAAGTCACGCGCAATCTTCGCGAAAATTCCTCGTGGCTACTTGACAGGGGGGGACGAATATTTTCACGAAACGTTGTTCCCACAGCAACCTAACTGGATATCTGGATATATTATATTTATTGCATTTTTATGATTGATAATAAAAATACGTAAATATTTAATGTTTTTAATTTTTATTTTTAAATCATAAAATACAATAAATACAATATATTTAGTTGAAACTTGAATTGCTGTGGTGGCGAACAACGTTTCGTGAAAATATTCGCCCCCCCCTGTCAAGGAATTTTCGCGAAGATTGCGCGTGACTTTCAAATGATTTGTTTTTATTCCTATCCTGAATTTGTTGTGGGAGGTTTTTTCCTTCAAAGTGCAAGTAATTTTTTCAATTTTTCTTTTAGGACTATTCTACAATGAAGTACTCTTGGATACTGTAATCTAAATACATATGAAGACGAAGAAGTGGCATTTATCGGGCAGAGAATCGGCGAGCCATTAAAATGGCGGCATATGGACGAAATATCGAAGGACACAATATCGAAGATAAAATACACTGCACTGCTCCAAAACTTGCCGAAACTTGGTTGAAATCTCCTTTAGCCATTTGCCATTATGTAAAAGTACAACAAGTGGATGTTATTTGCGAGACACGGCGATATAAAGCAAACAAGACGGCAAAATATGGCTGAAATCGTGTTTTCGTGGGGGGTAAGTGAAATAAAATATATTATATTTATAGAAAACAGTGACTATCCTTATGAAAACTACAATAATTATATTAAATTAAGCATAGTTTTTCATCCCATGGTAATTTTTTTTAGGAAATAAGGATATTTAATTTCTGCCGTGTATATTAGTTATTTTCTGCATAATCAGCAATTTACCTGGGGTGATAAATGGTCATTTTCTTGTAAAATATTATACTTCCACAAATTTTTCCTTCCAATAACCACCCCTAAAAGCAACCCTTCTAAACACTATAAGCACTTCAGAAAGGCTGTCGCTTTTGCTTTTCGGAAGTTAGAGCTATGTCGGCACTGCCGTTTCAGGGCGGGGTCATTTTCAGGACTTTCGTCCAGGATTCAGGTTTTGGCACATATGCCATGTTGACCGCCATGGTCATTTTACCCTAAAACAGTTGAGATTACCTGTGGTAAATGAAACGCATACAAACTCATATACAGGTCCTAGACTACCACAACGAAAGCGGTAAACGAGTATATTTTAAAAGCGACCGGTTTTTCTCCCGTTTTTGTGTGGAAAAAATGACAACGTAGCGATGGTGTTTATCCAGAAGCGAAATCCCGTTTGTATTAAATACGAAATGACTGAAAATTGCAAATTTCGCAAGGCTATATTATCCGCATTTTACAACATTTCGCAACGAAACTTTGGAATATTACTAATTTTGTGATGCTCTTTCAAGCTGTGATAAAATTTTTGTCTAGATCAAAATTTAGTCTATGAATATAATGCAAATGGTCCATTTCTCCGCGTTTTTCCCCGTTTCCAAGGATACGACGCCTCATCACGATTTATGAATAGGGTCTATATCATATGGTCTATATATTTGTGAACTGCATGTAGAATAAGAAGTCGTTCGATTAAAACTGACAGACAATAAATAAAACAGTACTATGCTACGCTTGTTTATTAAACAGATAACAAACTACAGGAAATGATAGCACATATCTCATTCTCAAGCAGACAACAATATTTGGCTGTTCATAGACATAGTGTCCTCCCATACTTCGTAAAAACCGGTTTTCGTATTGAATTTCGCTTTCGGCGACAGATTTCCATACAAGCTTGTCAGGAATCCTTCGGTGTTAAATGGCGCTTGGAAAAATTCCCCTTCGAGTTCAATACTACTCAACGGATACATGTCCTTGCAGTAGACTGATTTCACAATTGTATCTACATAGTAGAGTGGTACATATTTCTCTCCGACACGTTGGTAGAACTGTAAATCAACTGTGCAGTGATGATATGGAGCCCCGTTGTATTTTGGCCCAAGTAGATTATATTCTCCATATCTCGGATCGTAGACTTCGATTTTATCCGCATACGTTGAAACGTATCTCGCTTCATACGGAGCAGGCAGCAGCTGTTTGATCTTTCTCAACATGAAAGGAATTAGGGGTTTTGGGTCATTCTCGGAAAACATTGCAAAGTCGAAATCGTCATCGTGTAATATGAAGCGACCATTTCGCCAAGCGCCAAGCAACGTGCCGTTCTCAATTGTCCATGGCATGTCAAGTTTATTCAAAATTTTATCGCGAAGTAAAACGGCTAGTCTCATTCGTGGTTCGCCGTATTTATCCATGCCCGAAATGGGGCTTTTATAGTTGTTATCCGAACTCATATTTGCTATCACACTCGCTTTTAACTAGTCCAAAATTCGTGCTCGCGTGCACTTCTGAGCTGTTCGAACAAAAAATGTTAATGTACTTTTCGCCTTTATAGTATACCAAATACCGACTTCCAATTGAACCAAAATATATATATTATAGTCTGAACTGTCCGGAGAGTATTTTATGAAAGAATACACTAATATTTGTCTCAACTTACGAACTCAATCTAAGAGCAAAGACGCTTGCAGACAAAGTGAAAGCAAGTGTCAGTCTCGAATGCCAATATCTTGTTGACAAGTGCTAGATTATAGATTGGGAAACAATTAAAATGCCATTTAGTGCACGTGTTCGATTACAAATATGCAGATGCCTGGCCCCGGCATAAATGACCAAGAATCCACTGCTATACGTATAAACGCCGTCGAAATTTATATGTTTAAACTATAATTTATAAAGGGCATTGTATATAAAATAGTTTTGCTTCTGCGTCTTTGCCATGAAAAATCACTAATATTTTGGTCGAAATCTCGCCAGTTTGCGCTTAGCTAAGCCGGAAAAACCTGTAGCGTACGTTTGTTCTGATTGGAAAATTCCCGGTTTTTGGAAAATTCCCGTTTTTTTGAAAATTCCCGGTGAAAAAGACCGGATATGGGGTAAACGGGTACCGGATATACGGATACCGGGTAAACGGTACGTATAAATGCGTTTTTAAAATTTTTAATACGCTGAAATTAAAGTTCAATTAAACACAGCCTTCAATTCATCATGATAGTATATACAAAGATACATCATGGCTGTCCAATATCCTATTATTTAGTTGCACTCAAACTTATAACAACTATATACAACTTATAGCAACTGGCTTAATTTTACATCCGCAGATTTTGAATACGCCTAATCAAACCTAATGATGTATTAAATTCAAACTCCCAAATCCAATGCAAAAATTACGCCGTTTACATCAAACAACACCATCGGATGTATTTACTGTTTTAGACGTCTTAAACTTGTTCAAAAATCATTGCAAATATTTCAAAACTATTATTGATACTGTAGCCATTAGAGCACTGTGCCTGTGCGCCACATTGGTCATTGCTGATTTTTTTGCACTCTATTATATGCTAAGGTAGCCGTGACTATAAAGGCGGTTTTCCACTAAGCGAAATTTTTCGATCGAACCGAAATTTCTACTGTTCAAATTCAAAATGTTTAAGGTTGTCAACTGTAATTTGGCACCATCGAGGTTCTCATCGATGATTCAGAATTCTAACCATATCCACAGTTATAATTTACGAGGTTCAAATTCGTCTCTCCACGACCAAATACCGAGTATGGCAGAAAATGTTTTCGATATAGTGGGGTTAAAATCTGGAATAGCATTCCTGAACAAGTAACTGAGAAACAGCAAATCTTTAAATTCTTTCAATAGAAATATTTCCTCTGTTAGTCTGACGAATTAGCTATTTGACTTTTGTATACCATTTGTTTTGTAATATGTATTTGTATTCGCAGTTCTTAATATTCTTAGTGATTTTGTATTTTATATATTTTGTTACATAATTTATCTACGCCCCACTTGGAAAGCAGCTCCGGTTGAAGTGGCCAGAGTAGTCAAATAAAGTTTTATCTTATCTTATCTTAAAAGATTTCTGTATACTTCCATCTGAGTGCTTGTCAGACAAAAGAAAATTTCGATTCGGTCGAAAAATTTCGCCCAGTGGAAAACCGCCTTAAGGCTATAAGGTATACTGTAAACAGGCATACTTTATAGCCACAAACCTTGGCAATATGATATGCCAGAAACAGGCATACTTTATCAGTAGCCACAAACCGTATACTATATCTTTAAAGAACCTACTCAATTTTAGGCTCTCGCTCTCAAGTTGGGGCCCTATTAAGGTGGGGGCCTGGGGCAATTTACCCCCCCCCTCTCGGTGGCCTTGCATGCGGAGTGGTGTGACGTGTACCATTCACCTTCGTCATCGCTGTTTGTTCCTTGCGTCACTTCTCTGAATATATTTTCATCTCAGTTTCACCAGAGAAACTTGCCTTTAGTTTGACTCTACCAAACGCCACAGGTTCCTTCCTGGTCCTTCTATGGTAACAGTGAAGAATTACGAGAGGGCTGTTACTGGCTTCTAGGAGGAAGAGCAGTTTAGAACTGCAGTTTAGTTTAGGTTTCCTCCTGTAGTAACACTGGATCAATAAGAGATGATCCTTACTTGAACTCTAGGAAGAACAGTTTAGAACTGATAAAGCTATCCAGTATAAATAAAGTTAGTTTAGTTTAGGTTTCCTCCTGTAGTAACACTACTGGATCAATAAGAGACGATCCTTACTGGACCTCTAGGAAGAACAGTTTAGAACTGGTCGAGCTATATCCAGTACAAATAAAGTTTGTTTAGTTTAGGTTTCCTCTTGTAGTAACACTGGATCAATAAGGTGGCTCTTAATTAATGGACCTCCACGCAAAGAAAGACAAGCTTAGAAATAATATCTATTTTCTCTTCACATTTTCAGCTTGAAATCATTGACCACCACGTTGCCATATCAACAGGCCGGCCATCAGAAAAGATTGTTCAATATAAAATCATGGATAAAAATGTGACGTTTCAGTTTGCGCCTGGAAACTCTGCGTCGGTACTTTGAGCTTTGAAGAAAGAGCCTGGGTATGAATTATCGATATGCTGAGTAAGTTAATATCAAACGTGTTGTATACTACAATAAGCTCCCGTGGAGATGAAAAACACTTTGCCTTTGGTGTTTACCTGACACGCTGGGCCCCTACGTTAGGAATGTCATATAGTATTTATGGTATTTATATTTTAACCAAACTTGACTAAAGAAAGGGAATAAGAGTAACCAGAGGTGGAAAATGTTTTCTTCTTTCTGGGAACCTGGGTTTAGGGCTGACAAATTTCTGCAAAAGATAACAAATATATAACGAAAAATAACTAAAGTGTTTTTTTTTGTGATTGTTTTTTTTTACATTACATGGATTATGTACTATTTAAAACGCGAGCAGGACTGCTTTTTTAGATATAAAACACGAGAGCGTAGCTCGAGTATTTTATATCTGATAAAGTATGGACTGCGAGTGTTTTAAATGGCTTAAAAAACGACCCATCTGATGAGTTCATTGGCGAAGTAATTTTAAAAATAAACGTTGTCTAAGACGAGAAAATCAAAGCTAAGTTTATGTAAATGAACATGATTTTTTATCACATATAAAACCACCGGACAGGGCAGTGATTTCGAGGCAGTGATTTTGAAGGATATTTTCAACGTATTCTGCAACATATATTGGGAAAAGCGACAACATATTTCACTTCCGGAAAAGTAGCTTGATCTAATAAAACATTTACGATATAATTTCACTGCGAAGCAAGCCTGCCCAAAAAATTTGCGATTTCGCATGCCAATTATTCTTTGGCTCATGTAAATTGTCGAGCCTGTGTCATAGCTATATGGGTCACGTGTCCAAAAACGTGATGTGGGAAAAATTTGCATGCGGGAGAAATTTGCATGTGCAATTAGTGTAAAATACATGTTCAAAGTTTGTAGGTTTGATTCCTCCCGCTTCTGGTTAGGTGTAATAAATGTATAAAGTTCACACTCGGAATTTCCATCTACAGAACCCTTCAACAAGTAGCCATATCGAGTGTGATGCCCCAAATCCTGATATTTACCCATTCAATTGAATTACACCTGTTCAACACCTGCTGTGCAAATTTGTTTATATTCGAATCTTGTGCAAGTCTTCGAATCGAACATTTTGTTGAGTACATAGTTTTCTAGTCTATTTTATTGTTCTACACCAATAAAGAACGCTTAGAATGGGAACACGTGAAATAAATTGTACGCGTGATATTTGGGACGAAGTGCTTGACCGTGTTGAATCGAAATATTTGGAACACCGTCTCGACGACATTTACTGCTTGACGACAAACTTTCAACAGAAATCTATCGAAGAAAAGGCCAAAGTGTGTGTTGAAACAGTAAAAGTTTGGCTCAAACTGTTCACCAAGCAAGAAAAAAAATCTTTCGACAATATATATGTTCAAGATCTCTACTGGTTAAATCTTTTTGTAACTGGAAATCTTCATAAACATTGGGAAAACTTTTTTGAGAATAATAACTACCGTCATGTTGATGTATCCAGTAAATTTCCAGATGATCGAGTACAGCGACTAGTGTTTCATTTTGTTTACGACTGGGAAACGAAATTTAAAATTTTCTTCCTTGACAACGAAGTTCAAAATCAGAAAAAAGTTGATGTCCTACGTAAACAACTGGAAAATATCTTGTATATTAACCAGCGAAGTCTGTATGGGAACAGATGGCGCATGTTTAGCTTGCCAGATGAAATTCTGAAACAAGCTTTACTGGGGGATGGTGCTACGGTCATCCTTAAAAGGGATGATGGTGAGCCATTAAGAACTATCACAGGGCAAACTATAACTGCATCAGCGCGCCAGGGTACTTCTAAAGATTCTGCAGATGGTCCTAAACCAGATGATCTAGATAAAAGACTATTTAAAGATGTTCTTGAGTATGCCAAGAAATCCAACCCAAATTTGAATTTAGCCTCGTGGACACTGGTTAGAGCCATTTTTAACTATGAAGATGATGGTGAGAAGAAAGAAGTGAGATGTTACGCATTCTCTGGTGTGTCTGAAGACAAAAGGCAGATACCCGCCGAGTGGTGGAAGAGTGCGAAATGCAATAATTTCTATCTTGAAGAAGACCGAGATATATTTGTGCCGGTGGTTGATGAGAATCAACTTGGGCCAAATTTGGTAATGTCAATTTTCAGTGCTTGGCGACCTTTTTATGAAGAGGATCTACGTAAGTTGACAACATATGTTGCATTTGACCAGCTGGAGGAGGCAGAATCCCAAATTTTGGAAAATCGCAAGGATCTGGATACTTTGAATTATTGGGAATACCATGACATTGTCGTAGATGTGGTAGAAGGTTATGACGAAAGAATAACGAAAGCAGTACTAAATGTACTACAACTACCTTACAGTGTAAAGTGTTGTGGCAAGTTGGTCCAAAAACTGATTTGTGGGCGGAAGAACCAAAAATTTACATCAAATCAGGATGGTTTAAACGTCGCTATCCTCGAAGCCAATCTGATGGGTAAGGCAAATGAAGCAGACATTCCTGACTCCACAAAGCTGCTTGAACTGACAGAAAAAGTTGTAGAAATCTCAACTGAAAAACTTTCGAAATTGGAAGTTGAACTTAAAAAGAAACCTTCATCATATTTAGTCGATTTGGGGAAAAAATTAAAGCAAGCTCAATGCGGAGAGGACAATGTTTTGTCTTTTTTATCAGGAAAGTTGATTCAAAATGTCGAGACATTCCTCACCACTCCTGTCCAGTTTGTTGCTCTAGACCAGGCTCACTTAGATGGGAAACCATTTTGTCCCAGATGTGATAGAAAAGTACAATTTTTTTCAATTTGTCCATCAATTTTGCGTTCTCTTGGCGTCTCTGGTAATGATGATTTGCTAAGGAAGTTACAAGAACTTTTTTTTCAGATGAACACTACACAAAACAATGTGTAAATTTACATTTCAGAACTAGCATAAGCTCATTAAGGGCGATGTTATACGGGATGATTTTTAGCGACGATTCGCAATGAAATTATGCAAATGATGCTACCTTTATCCCATGTAACATTGCCTTGACAGGTGAAGTTGCATAGGGACGTTCATCACCATGGTGAATAAAATTGTCATATAATAACCACCATTAGAGATTATAATAATGCAACGAATGTTATGTCAACGACACCAAATTGTACATGTCATTTTGTGTTCATGAAATAAATGTATAAACACTGTGACCACTTTGGACTAAGATCTCCTCAGGATTTGCAACTGGTATTTTGACAATCATTTGTTGTTAAACCCGAGTAAAACCAAATCGATTGTATATGGAAGCAGACGGATGACATCATGACAGCCAAACTGCCAGGAAATGAAGTACTTTTTTGTTACTTTTGGAAAACTTGACATTCAAAGATCATACAGTGAATGTGTGTACGTCAGCATCATAGGCAAGCCAAAGGCTAGGCGTGTCAAATATTTGATCAATAAAATATTCAAATTCTAAATAAAACTCTGCCTCCCTTGTTAAATATGCAAGTTTGCAGTTCTGGATACCCGATTACGGGCGATGTCACACTCTGGATAATAATTAGTTTTATTATTTATTTAAACAGGGTTTGAAATAAGGTTCCCAAAAATTTACTAAAAAGTCAAAAGAAGTAAATAACGAGTCATAAAAACAGGATATAAATTTCATTGCACATGTTCACAAAGTTTTATTTTCAACCAAAACAGTTTTCTTTGAATACAATATACATCCTGAACCAATCACTGTTATATAAATAAAGCAAGAAATGTCTGCTTTCCTATATGTGTTTTGAAGCAAAATGTACACAACGTCTTTTAAGTATAAATAAAATTGATATAAATAGCCATTATAACGTTCAGTGTAAATGTCCATATTTTAGTGATTATTTAAAACAAATACATGGTCAATATTTAACATCATCACAACGTGAAATAAATTTTGGAATTCTATCTTGTGCTATGCCTATGCACATATAGTTTTAAAATATCTGCTCATAGCACACAATTGCGTTAATTTTACAACTTTTTTACCACTTACGCATAGAGTTGATCAGGATCTCCCAGGGATTTCTAAGTAACTAGGGAAGAAGGCATATTTTGCAATGGTTACAAGGGAACAAAGCCAAGAAAATAATGTGGAGCTTGGAAAAAAAGGGGGGGGGGGGG